TAACTCAGTCCCACAAGTATAATTATTGCATAAGACCATTATTGTAGGAATATAAGGATCCATGAGGGGTGGGAGAGGCTGGAAGCAGAGGGATGTGGATGTGCAGGGGAAAGGGGTGATTAATCATTGGGTTGTACAATTTGATGGGGGGGGGTGAGGAAAATTGAAAGAATTTGTTCAAATTGGTATTCTAATTTTTTAAATAAATTAGTAGAAAAAATAAAAGACAATAAACACAAACACTAAATGAAAATAAAAAGAAGAAGAAGGAAGTGTGTCAGGATTGTATTCTCTCTCCATACCTATATAATCTGTATGATGGGCAAATTATTCATGAAGATGGACTCTATGAGAAGGAATGTGACATCAGGAGTGGAGGGAGACTCATCAATAACCTCTGTTACGCAGATGACACAACCTTGCATGCTGAAAATGAGGAGGACTTGAAGCACTTGTTGCAGAAGATCAAGGAATGCAACCTTCAGTATGGACTGCATCTCAGTGTCAAGAAAACAAAGATTCTTGCTACTGGACTGATAGGCAACATCATGATGGATGGAGGAGAGACTGAAACTGTCAACAAATTCATCTTGCTTGGATCCATAATTAACACCCTTAGTACCAGCACAGTGCATTGAGAAAATCTGCAGTTAAAGACCTCTTCAAATTATTGAGGAGTAATGATGTCAGTTTGAGGACTAAGATGCATCTGATTCAGGCCCTAGTCTTTCTGATTATGTGCTATGCATCCGAGAGCTAGACAGTGAATAAGGATGACAGAAAAATAATTGATACCTCTGGGCACTGAACATATGAATGGCCAAGAAAATGTAGAAATGTTTTACCAAAGATGAAGCCAGAGTGCTCTTTGGGGAAAAGAATGATGAGGTTTCTCTTCACATACTTTGGGAATGTTCCTAGGAGGGGCTATTCCTTGGAGAGGCGCATGATGCTGAGAAGAATAGAGGGTTGGAAAGAGAGAAGACCCTCGACCAGGTGGATTGACACAGTGAGTGCTGCAATGGGCTCCTGTGTGTCAGGAAGAGTGACGATGGCGCAGGATAGGAAAAGGTTCTGATCTTTTGTTCATAAGGTCGCTATGAGTCGTACTCAACTGGATGGCACCTAATAATGACAACAAATAAAATAAAATGTCAGTGATCAACAACTGAGGACTCAGCTCTACCTTTGTAGCACGAAAGCAGTCATGGACAATACTAAACAAGTGAGTATAACTGTGTTCCAATAAAACTTTACTTAGAAAATCAAGCAGTAGAATGGATTTGGCCTATGGGGTATAGTTTGCTAAACTCTGATGTAAATAATCAACAGCCTGATCCTTTTTTTTTTTTTTTCATTTCCTCCCTATTGTCCAGCATAACGTATCTACAGCTGGAAATTATTCCTTAGGTGAAACCATGAGTGTTAGTACAACACAAATAATTTGTGATACCAGAGCCCTCTAAGGTGACTGATAAAAATATAATTTTTCCCCCAAAGGAATACTGATTTTGATTTTGTATAAGTCCGTTATCTGCATATGACAGTTGTGCTTTGCAGGGTGACAGGAGGACCAAATTGGTTAAACAGAAGGTGCCCTGTCTTTGCAAAGGCACTTGCTAAGTAACAAAGCCTCAATCTCTTAACCGTAAAACAAAACAAGTTAACAACCATTTTATAGTGGAGGAAATTAAATACTGTATGTAAAAATACTTCGAAAATGAAAATAATTTTTTCAAATATAAGTTATCATTTTAAATTTTTTTTAATATTTACTATAAATACTTGGGTGAAATGGATTGTATTGTTCTACAAAGACATTTAGAATTTTTCAGCTTTTACTTCATAAACATGATTTTTCACATTGCATTTTCCCTCACTATACCAGTTCATAAGAATAAGAACACATTTCTTTATCTTAAAAATATATTTATTCCTATTCTAGTTAATGATAAAAATTTAACATAATTGTAGAAGAATGACAAACTGGAACATTATTTTTTATGTTCTTTAAGTTGCAACATTTTGAGGTTTGCTTGTTTTCTAGAATACTTATTATTCACAATAATATTTTCCTAAAATAAACAAGAAAAATCACCACTAAAATTGAAAGCATAGCTAATGTTCTTATCAAACTCAAGAATGTGATCCTAAGTTTAATGAGGAAACAGTCATTCAGTTTGAAATGAGTTTTTAATAAAAACCAGGATCAAACCCACTGTCACGGAATCCATTCTCACTGATCAGTTTCCAAGTCTATAAATTTTAATGGAAGCAAATTGCCTATTTTTCTAATTTGGAGCAGCTGGTAGATACAAATTGTCAACCTTTCAGTTAGTAGGTCAACACAGTTTTAAGTAGAAGCTTGAAAAAAGTCAAATGGAGTTCTCTCCTCTAATCTCCCTAATGAAGAGAAAGAGTACAGGCCTAGTTTGCTGTACTTAGCCTGAAATCATTATAGATTTAGATTCTTTTAAAACTTAACTAAAGGAACTTAAAACCAATCGCTGAAAAGGAAATGTTTGCCTATTAATATAAACATAAAACTAAAAAGAGCTAAACATTTCAAAAATAACCCAGAACTATGACTAAGACCCAACTGGTAAGGGGGAAAGAAATACACCATCACTCTCCTTTGTTTGGGGGAGTAATTCTGATCTGTGAATAACGCTGAAGTCCTAAGAGTGAAAACAGACTCAGACATTGGCAGGAAGAACTGCCCATAAGATATTAAGTCATACTAATTCACAACATCAAATTGCTTTTCTTTTGATCTGGAAGCTAAGCAGCTTGGAAACCACATTTTGTATATATAGCTCTAAGATCATGGGTTCAATTTCTCCTTGACCTAAATCAGTTGTATTAAAATGTACCTTTGTTTATGGAAGAGGGTTATTTGCTTTTTTAAAAAAAATAAATCTTTTTTTCCCTTCAGGAAGCCAATGAGTTATTCAGAAGTTTCTAGTAATAGGTGCAGCTGAGTTCTCTTATAAAGGCACTGAACATTTTTCTTCCTTTAGTAAAGTTAAACTATTTTTTATTGTAAAAACAAAAAAGAAAAATACACATTTTCTATATTTTTCTAGACAAAAATGAAAATCACACATAAGCCCACCATCCAGAAGTAACTGCTGTTAATACCTTAACTGCATTTTATATTTTCAATCTTATTTTTATGCATAACATCCTATTGTTAGCTTTACCTCTGATAACTCTTTGATTTCTATTTATTTGAAATGAGAATGATGATAGGATATTATAATTTACATGCTGGGTCACTTAGGTTGTGTTTATTTACTTATTTTGATTCAGCTTCTTCTGAATTTAACGTGCAACTAATGATCAAATGTACAACATGCTCCTCTGTCTTCTCACACAGAACACAGGTAAAAGTAGTCTGACACCATTTCCAGGAAGCTGTGTAAATGTAGTCTACGGCCAGTTACATCTGCCTTATAAAGATTCCATAAACTGGGCCATTTATCCATCTGCCAAACGACCTAGCACAAGATGAGTACCTTGGAAGCCACCTACCACAGGAAGCACTTGAGAAATATTCCTTCTGCTTTATTTGTCACTTCACCTGAACATCATGAATAGCAATTTTTTTCTTTTCACAGATGAGGAAACCAAGGTTAAAAAGTGGTGACTCTTGCCCCAGGTCATGTAACAGTCATTATATTGAGGGAGAATACAATCAAGACCAAGGGGCCTATCAGCTACGAACTATAAGCTCTTCAGCACTAAAAGGCTGTGGGTTGTAGGACCTCCCTCTTCACTTCCTCCACTCCCTGCCCCCAGGACTCTCCCTTGACTACCAAGACGCCAGCAAATTTGTACTCGATTCTATGCCTTTCTAGGATTCTTCTGCCAGAGACTGAGAAACTTGTTCACCAAGTTTGTCATGACTATGTTATAATCTACAAATCAATCTTCTGAGTGCCAGTGAGGACAGTTGTCTTTAATATTAAGTTCCAAATGTTTATACAAGGGTTTTGTAAAATATATTGCTATTTATTTATATCTCTCTCTCCCTCTCTCTGTGTGTGTGTGTGAAATTTTTCAAGCGCGAGGTCTCTTGACACTCCTCTATCACCATGACTAAACTTTATCACTATAAATTTCTTTTTAATTCAGACAAACATCCTTTATTTTGCTTTTCCTATAGAGATGGAAGATGTGTGTGTGTGTGGGGGGGAGCATTGAAAATTCTCTTTCTTCAAGGTCCTTGGGCAAATTTCATTACCAGATAGTTTGACTGGCTTTTTAATATTTATTTCCAGAGATGTCGCTAAGTTTTCCCTCACCTCACAGACAGCAGATTTTTGTCTTCATGAGCTTTAATGACCATGTTTATGAGATGAGCTGGGGTCAGAAGGCATTTCTACAACCCTATAAGGTTCCCCACCCTATAACAGTCATAAAAACACCAGAAGACAAGAAATGATGCATTGATTTCCACCAGAGTCCCGGATGTAAATTCAACAATTTAAGGAAGCAGGAGGAGTACCTGGCATATAGTAAAGTGCCATGTGCTGGATAAAGAAAATAAATAACCTGCAAGCTCCTGCACTGCCACTGCAATTTGGAACACACTTCCCAAGGGTTTTCTAAGGCAAAACCTAATCCTTTCAGAGCCCATGTGAATGCAGACAGAGTGTGTGTCTCAGGAGGTGCCAAGTACATAAAACTACCATTGGAGCAGGTCAAATTGAGTTGAGCACTAGCAATTTCATATGGTACCATCCAACAGAATGTAGTACGCCTCCACTCTATTACCATTACCTCTGAGTGTGGTGCATGGCGGGGCGGGCCTGCAGTGGGCCCAGCCCAGGGTCAAGCCACACGCCCCTACCAGACACAATCCCCCAGAGCTCCCGCCCCCCTACCCTCCCACTGCACAGTCCCTGCCTCTTACTCTCACCCCTACATCCTCCCACCCTCGTGTCGCCCCCAAACCCCGGGCGCGGGCGGAAGGCCGAGCTAGGGTCCGCACCCACCTGAAGAGGGGCCCGAGCTGTAGCAGGTGCAGCAGCAACACAAGAGGCCGGTCGCGACTGAGATCGCGGTGCAGGAAGAGGAGCGTGAGCTGCACGATCGCACAGGGCAGCAGCGAGAAGAGCAGCGTCAGCGCCTGCCACATGCGGTCCCCAGCCGACTGGTAGGTGCTGCTCAGGTAGAGCGCCACCGTGGTCTCGGCCACGAACAGGAATACGGACGCCAACACCGAGCCCGGGAATTTCATCTCCGCGTGTCAGCGGCGCAGACCAGAGGCGGCGGCCTGAGGGGCCTCCCCCGGCATGCCCGTCCCGGCGGACCTGTGTCCCCCGCCGAGGGCACAGGGCCCGGCCGGCGGGCCTGAGCACTGGAGTTGGGCCCGGGGTCAAGCGACGGGGCAGAGGTGGGGCGGAGAGCGCGGCCTCGCTGGGAAACGCCCACGCGCACTGTGCGCCGCCCGCGCGTCTCTAGGGCGACAATCCCTGCGCAGGCCGCGAACCCGCGTCGCACCGCTGCTGGCGGTCTGAACCCAGACTTGCTGGCCCCACACGCAGCCTCTGGGTCCTAGAGTCCCTTGGTCTGCACGTTCTGTCTTTGGAAAACATTCACATCCTTTTCCAAACCTGCACCAAACAAGGCGAAGAATTGGAGTCTAGATTCAAGGGCTAACAAAAGCCTGAATCTTCAAACAACCAGCGTTTCTGGTTACTAAATGTAACCAGACCACACATGCTTTTCAATCTCAGCGTGCTGGTACTTTGGCATGCACCCATCCCAAAGACGGGAAGGATTTAACTTCTCACTGTGACAGAAAAGTCTGCCCCTGTCTTTCACTGTTGTGTGAAGCGTTGCCAATAGTAAAAGAGTATCAGAGATAATTATCTCCTAGAAAAATTGCCTATAGAATATATTCCACTAGAATTGTGACTAACTCAGGCCAAAGGTTAGAGCCTAATAAGGAAGCAGTATACCCAAGGCATACCTCTGCTTACTGGGTGTGCCAACCTCAATAGCACATCTCCTTTTAAGTCACTGAGCCCTACCATTACAATTTGATCAAGACACTGAATCTCTCTCCCACTCAGATTCTAATCTGTTTCATAAAGGGATTAGATTAATAATTAGAAGATTCTTTTCCCTGCTGAAATTGAGCAAATTCGTCAATCTCCAGGCATCCGTGGCATTTTTCTTTTTAGGAAAAGGATGTAAACATAAACAGTGAAGATGCAGTAGGAATAAAGACATTGTAAATATAGAGGAAAAGAACATGTAGGATTTTTGTTATTGTTGTTCTTGTCTGGCCTGGGGTAAAATCTGCTTATAAAGATTTAAGGAAGATCCAGCCAACAGCTGAGAGGTATCAGGCCTTTTCTCTTAAAAGGATTACTAATGCCTATTTATAGAACCTAGCAGGCCAGCATGTCCTGGATCAGGATACACACACAGTCACAAATACTGAGTTGGCAGCAACACTCCACAGAATATTGTGTGTAATATTTTTATTTGACACTGCAGTAAGCTTTACAGAAGACATTTATCAGGATCTCAGAATTATTCATTAGAACACAATATTGAACATTAGGTTTCTTTTTAAGGCAAAGGATTATCACAGACTTTATATTAATAAATGGACTGTATTTAAATATTGTTGAGAGGGTAAGCCAGTAAATAACATTGCTTCAAGTACTACAAAGTCTAGTTTATGAGGCATCATTTTCTACAGTACAAAATACAGAAAACACATTTTGAAAGATCACAGTGTTTAGAACATTGTAATAGTTTTAAAAACAGCAAGGTGCGTCTCTAAGCTTCTGAACCTTAGTTTTAAAAGATTTCATTAAACCATTCAGCAAACCCCCCTCAGTAAAGGGGAAACAACATTGATTGACTCTAGCACTTTTCCCTCCAGGAACAATCAATAACAAAAGCTAAATCTGAAGAGCATTTGCAAGTTTTTCCTTCTCAGTCTGCACACAAACTAGCTTGCTTCAGTTCCTTTAAGCCTTTCTGTTTTATCATTTGTCATTTTGTCCTTGGGACTATATATACTAGAGTTTATGCTCACTAATTTCCAAGTTCAGTCAAAACATCTACCGAGATTTTGACTGAAGTTCAATATAATATCCTGTATTATATTACCTTTCTTTTACTGAAATATTCGTTATTTTTTAAATATTGTCTACTAGACTTCTAGAAAGTGATAGATTTTTTAATATAGTGTTACATAACATACTAGAATACTTGAGGATTTGGTTTTATTATGAAATACTGTACTACAATTTTGTACATATTTTGTGATATATGAAAATATGATAGAACGTTCATTCTGCTTTAAATGTAGACCTAATTGCTACAGAGTAGTCTTTGAAATTACCTCAAAATAATCCTAAAGAACGATAATAATTAACAGAAGGGTATGAACTTGTTTTGGCAAATAGGCATTCTTTTTAAAAGCCCCTATGTGCAAGTCTTTCAAAATTTTAGTTATATACAATAACTAACTGATGCTCAATTTAATACTAATAGCCATTAGTGGGATTTTAAAGTGATAATACCTAATCACTATTATTTGGTGTATTGTTTATTATAATTTTATGCTTTAAAATTTGCATTGGTGCTGAGGCAAGTGTATTGCAAAGTGTACAATTTTAGTAACAATGCTAGTTTATTGAGCAGTTCTTCACTATTCAATAGTACTTTAAATTAAATGAGAGTACTTACTCATTCCTAGGTACAGTTAAGAATAAGTGGAACTACTATATTGGCAGATTGTTTTTTTACTCTCCCCCTCAAATAAAGTGTTCCTTGCACTAATTTGTGTTTGTGAAAATAGCACTAAGAAGGTAAATGTTTTTCTCTCAAACTATATAGTAGTTACCACAAGTATTATGAATTATGCAAAAACATCTTTGTGTTAAAGTAAGTTCTGATCACTTAGAAAATGCACATTTCAAAACTAACATTCCAATGAGGACTTGAAAAGTCAAGGTAATGGTGGGCATAATGTTGCTTACTTTTATAAAACGCAAAGAGCATGTTCATATATGCTTATATGAAGGAAATATGATGTATATGAATTCTGTATGCTAATCAATACAAACGAAAAAGATATTTTTTAAGAAAAACCCAAAACTAACCTATGGTGTCCAACTGTCTAGCCCTCGGTATATGACTTTGCAAAATGTTTCCTCTAACAATGAAATTTTAGAAAATTCATTTTTAAAAATTGTGACTTTAGTGCCATTAAAATTCAGACTTTCCTCTGGGCAGAGCTCCCCAAATGTTTCAATGTGGGTAAACTCTTTTATTTTAGTGACTTTTATGCCCTTCCTTATCAAAAACAGATTACAACCAAAGTTTTGCACTTACAAGAATATTCCACTCCTTCTGGAGAGCTTCTACAAAACTAATATTATACTTCAAATTTTTAAGAACAAAAATATTCTAATGCTACTACACTCTTCAGAAGACATCTGTAATAGTCATGTCCTAAAAACAAAGACAAAACTCAGCATTTATATCAGTCTACTTCGTTGCATACATCTGTCACCTAGGACCAAATTCAGCCACAGCATTGCTTTTATTGACAATCATCACTTGAACACAGATCCTAAATACCAAGCTTACAGGAGCCGTATCAAAGGTCCCACTAAAACCAATAGATAATTTGCTAGACATTGACAGTAGTCAAACAGAGTCTATATTTTTTTTAATGAACACTATGTTCTAGCTACTTTATACATATTACAAAAGCAATACACAAGAAGCACATAAATTAACACTACACACAGAAATCTAAAAAGAAAGCATCAGCAGGAACTGTATTACTCTACATACTATAAACTGAAGGTGTTATGTGTTTATACACATTCAGATAGTTCTTTCCCGCCTTTTTTAGAGTATTCAACATTTCAGAAAGAATGAGAGGAAGGTGTGTATTTTGGTTACTCTGAAGATCTATCTACATCCATTAGCAAGACATTAAAGCCATCTGTGGATTTCAATTTAGTAGGTGGTGGTTTTAAAACAAACCTCCCCAAAAAGATGTAGCTTGGCTCTTGGTTGATTGCCAATATTAAAAAAAAAAAAGTAGAGATAGACTCTAAAAATAATGGAAAAGGAGTTTTACTTATTCACAGAGATACTAATGGCAGTTTCTTGAATTTTTGTTCCCAAAAGCGCCGTCAAGAGTGACCTGGGATCTTTAATGAGGGCAAGAAAAATGAAAGGGGATTAATACTCTGGAAAGAGCCATTGTTAGGGTATCTTTAAATGTGGGAGGAATCCAAAGAGAGGAGCGAACTGGGGAGGGGTGGCTGGTCAGGGAGAAAAGTGCAACAATGAAAATCTCTGTAAATGTTCATTAAAATTCTTAAAATAAAATCTAAAAAAAAAAGTGGGAGGAATGTTAAAAATTCTTCTGTAGAAGAAACCTACAAGAAGCATATCATAAACACTTCCTACCAAACAAATTGGTTTTTATTCTAGTATAGCGGGGCAACATCCACATCAGAAAGCTAAATCGCAGAGACAGGGAGAACTCAAACTACCTCAAACAGGTGTGTTGTGTTGGTCTTTAAACTCAGGGGAGATTTTTCAGAGATTTCAGTATGTTAATATATTGTGTACACGTAGGGTCAGAATTGACTCAAATGTAGTGGTTATAGGTTTTCTGGACAACCCGTGCCCTTATCTATTTCCATCAAGTCGATTCCAACTCATAAAGACCCTTAAGGACAGAGCAGAACTGTCCAATAGGCTTTCCTATTTAAAGACTAATCTTTAAGGGAGCAGATAGCAAACTTTGGGTAACTGCTGAACACTTGAACCACTACACCATCAGACCTCCTATATATATATGCTATATAAAGACCTTATCAATGCTTTGGGTCTGGAGTGGAATATCCCTGTGAGAGTACCTAACCTCCTAACCCGTATATGACTTCTTGTTTATTGCCATTGAGTCGAGCACGACTCATAGCGACCCTATGAACAAAAGGCCTGAAGCCTTTCTGTAACTATGGTCGTTTATCAAAGTGCATCGAGTTTCCAGAGGCATGTGGAAGTGGATGGCATATGACTTACACACTTTGAAATGTGGCTAGTCCGATTTAAGATGTGCAATAAGTGCTCAATCCACACTGTATTTTAAAGCCTTAGTACAATAAAACTAAAACAATCATATTACTATTTTATTAGATGTTAAAAGTATGATATTTTGGCTATATTGCTTTAATGATACTAAAG